GTAATTATTAAGCTTTTATTTTAAATTAATATAAACATATAGATAATATGCAATATAAATAAGTTTTAGAATCAATAGCTTTAAACATGACTACATATGAGCTTAGATTTTTATACCTATAAATATTATCAACTCTATAAACTAACTTTTACTTTTAAATTCTTCATATTGTTCAATATTTTAATCTTTGGTAGTGAATCGCACTGACTCTCAAGAAGTGAATCACAGTTTCAAGGCATGTGATTGGCTGTTCATTACTGATGTCAGTCTTTCATGTGCACGTGCTTCATTAACTCAGCATCAAGCCTGAGTTGACAGAGAAAGTTGATGATCAGCTTCATGGTACCAACAAAGCCGGATTGGATTGTTTTGGTTTTTTCAACTCAAAACTAATCCTGTAACCCCGAGTTTGTTCAGCCACCATCATGGTACAGGCCCCTGGTCAGCTCAAACAGAGACAAGCACAAATCACTTTTGTTTCCATCCCTCACAGTAAGAGACTAGGGATCAAAAGTGCTTTGTGTTTGTCTGTGGGTCAGCTTTTGTGGACATTGTGGTGACCAAAATTTGCCAAGTCATTCAGTGGCTGTATAAAACTTGCTGAAATGTAGTTTAAAGTTAAAGGCTACTAATTTTTATAATAATTTCTAAGTTAGAGACCCTAACCCTAATTAATTATGGTTGTATAGCAGAGGTTCTTAACTATTTTCTTGCAGAGTTTAGCTTCAACCTTGATCAAACTCACCTGCCTGTAACTTTCTAGTAATCCTGAATCTGATTAGCTTGTTCAGGTGTGTTTCATTAGGATTGGAGCTAAACTCTACAAGAAAAGTGGACCTCGAAGGTCACAGTTGAGAACCCCCGGTAAAGAGTATACTGACAGCTTAGTGTTTTTTTATATATTAAAGATACTGTCAGAGATTGTGATTTGGTGATTGTAAAGTCATTGTAAAAACAATGTTGGGGATTTGATTCCTCAACTATGTGATAAAAAAAAAATCAGTGGTATGGAAATTGACCAATTGGACTAATGCCAAGGTTGTCAATTGGCCGTGGTTGGCCTTTCCCCCCTTTTTATGTGCAGGTGGAATGCAAATTGTAGAACATCTGAGCTGAAAAATGTGGAATAAGGGCACCATTAACTTCTGTGAGAGATTGTGATGAGTGGCTTAGAAAATTTCATGGAAGAGACAAGCCTTTGTCCAGCAGCGGTTTAGATGCAGTGCTCCTCCTTGGAGGATCATGCAGTGAACGTGTAATTTAATAATAAAGAGATTACTGTTTTATGGGAGCGGAGAAAAGTGAGTCATATGGCTTATTTTTAACTTAATGATTTATATAATTATTCTGCTGCTTCCTTTTTTTCTACTGCAAATACAGAGTTCTGGCATGAAACTCTAGATGGTGCAGTCCGATAGGTCTAACTCAATCTGATCTAATGACATCATTATCACATGGCACAGCTGATTGGTTCGCTCCTGTATTGGTAGCCAATGAGCTCGCTGCTCAACATGCAAATATATGACTAGTGCTTGCTGTAGCAGTTGCAGCGTAATTCAAAAACAGCTGAAATCAACATCTAAGATAAGTGAATGCTCTTCTAATCCATATCGCTGTGTGTATTGCGTGGTCTGCCTAATTGAATTAAAAAAAGAGCAACCATAATCAAGTTTAAACTAAGTATCAGATTAGCAGTTTGCATTGTATGCAGGAGCGAATATTAAGCATATTAGCAGCAGCATTTA